TTGGTGTGTGAGTACCATTCTCTCTATGGTCCAACACAATGTTTGGTGTGTGAGTGTCATTCTATGTATGGTCCAACACAATGTTTGGTGTGTGAGTGCCATTCTCTGTATTATCCAACACAATGTTTGGTGTGTGAATGCCATTCTATGTATGATCCAACACAATGTTTGGTGTGTGAGTACTACTCTTTGCGCCATCCAACTCAAAGTTTGGTGTGTGCGTACCACTCTTCAGGTGATCGAACTCGAGCGTATGAGGTAAGAAATCTTTGTGAGTTACTGTGATGTTTGGTGTGGGTGTGTATGTGTGTGTGATGTGTCTGTACCCCTCTCCGTGTGATCAAGCATGACGTTTGGTGTGTGAGTACAGCTCCCAGTGTGATACAACATAATGTTAAGTATGTAAACTTTAAGAAACGTTGAACTATTTATTGCTTGTCAAGTCAAGTCTTTTATTGTCTATAGGCCACAGGTCCGTAAACAACATTCACAAAACATTTACATTCATTTACACATGTATACAATAACAAAGGTTGAGTTTACAAAACATAGTTATAATGATGCAGTACATGGAGAAATCATACAAAAATATATATCTTAATGAATTGGCAAATATTTTGATTCTCTTATTTCATATGCATAGTGTTAATATGTATATAAGTTTCTTAGAAGTGTTTCCTTATGAGTAGTTAATATGGATTTCAACTTGTGATAATTAAGTTGGTAGGGTTGATCTAAGTGAACGCTCATCACGTACCGCACGTGCATTTGTTTCACTGTTCCATCTACTATGCTTACCCCCTTGTAATACAAACCAGTAATAGCGAATTGAATCTATGATCGTTTGTTAAACAACTTTTATCCTAAGTTGAATAAAATTCTGAGATTTAAATGTTCATTTGGCAAGGTAAAATTATGAGGATTCGTGATATTAATTTCACTTAATTTGATTTACTTTTTTGTTTAAAGTGAAATTCATCGGTATGTTTTCTCTGGAAACAGACTATACCAGACTGGATCGCCTGTGTCAATGCCAATAGAGAAACCGACCCATTGTATTGTCATTACTTGTCATGTAATAAATGATAAAATTTTAAGTTACATTTTTGGTTGTACTCGCAAGCGTAGGCACTGGAACCATTTATTAGCACAGTCACAAATTGCAGATGTCTGCATTATCAGTTTGGCCTAAGATCCAGTACCTCTTGACATGAGATTCTTGGCATTCTAAGAATGTGTCTTTATGATCCATTATTTATGGGCGTGTTGGTCAAGGTCAACAAAAGTAATTTCTAAAATCAAATATGTACACATAATTTCATTCACAAGAATTGGATTGGCCAGCCGAGTGATAGAACCGGGTCCTTTTTGCAACCCGCCGAGGATGTGAGATGGGCTAAGGGACTACTGTTCCTTGTCCAAGGCCCTCAACCAACCGTCTGCTCTCGTCCACTGACACAGGAATGTTAAATGTAAAAAGTCAGTGGAAGCGGGTTGCCTAAGTAAATAGAGTCTGGCAGCATGGTGTGGTGAAGACACATCTACCCAGGGTGCCAGAGACAATGTTCACTACACGGTGATTCTCGAAGCGATTGTGCCACCCCGACTGCTTTTCTATATAAATACCCATAAATGTGTTCGTCTACAACTACAGATAGAAAAACCAGCCATATGAAACTTTGGACTTTTCACTTCAAGATTGCTTACCTTTATTTTGGTCTTGACATTTGCACATTACCAGTTTTGAGATTACTAAATGAGCACGTGACACATTGTAAAGTTAGGGAATTATACCGTTACAGATGACAATACTTTGATATCTTGAATGTCTTGAAATCACGAAGTTACAATATCGTTCCGCTTGGTTCGACATAATGGCGTAGACCGTATATTACATTTTTTTAATAAGATGCAGCTTGTTATGGCTAACTGATCGGACATAGGCCTGCAAAGCAAGCATCCAAGGCAAGCTGGGTATATAGTTACAACAAGCCATACCTTATTGGGAGCATAAAGCAAACACAAAAATGGAAATGCTAACTCCAGACCTGTCTGTACAATACTTAGCAATACTAGGTTTACATACATAACATTCGTCCCAGAAACGTCGAGTTCTTTTGCACGCGTTCAGCAGCAATGCAGGGCCTCACCCTTGAATACATGACCCGTTATATGGATTACAGCGTCTTTTTATTCTTTATACGACGTTTCAGAGCTAATTCGTGCTCCCTCATACTTGCTCTATTACACAATCTCATAGTCATGAGCTTCCATCAGTGTTTCTAACTCAATAAAATGTGGCTCATCTCCGTGTTCATCTACAGTGTCATGTGGCTGACAATGTTTGTCGCTCCTACTCACATTCACGGCTGGATATTCGGCACGGCTACAAGAGTTGTCGCACGTGGACAGAGAAAGGTTCTTCTGATCTCTGGGTACACAGTGAAGGTAGTACTGGTTGGTGCAATCTTGGACCATATCTCCTTCAGTGGACTTCTTTTCTGAAGTGGATCAAGTTAAGCCTGATTATTTATGTTATTTTTGATCCAGTGAAAAGTTACTGAAGACAAATATAGCATTCCGATGAACACTGTCATTTATAATTAAGCACTGTTGTAAAATAAGCAATTTGGGCATCTTAGCAACAAACATAAGATCATAAGAGTTGGTTGGCTGGTTGCTTAACGCCGCACCCAACAACATATTGAATGTGGACCAAACAATCCAGTGATCACCAGCATGAACATTGATCTTTACAATTGGGAACTGATGACACGTGTCAACCAACCAGACCACCGTTAGTCGCCTCTTACGGCAAGCATCGGTAGCTGAAGACCAGTTCTAACCCGGATCCTTACGGATCAGAAGAGTGAATGGGATTGACCATTGTATTCTAAGACACATGCGAGGGAATGTTGGAATGTAGAGAGGCCTTGTGGACGTGTGGGCATCCAGAAGCGTGCGACTGTGAGAGGTTTTATGTTCACTTCAGCAATATTGCAGCAATGGGAGGACCCGTATTGTACCGATGTGGGTGATAGACTCTGGACCTTCAGCGTGACAAGCAAATGCTTTATCGCCGGACTACACTTTGAACACCCTACGTGGAGAATTAGTCCACGGTTAGTTTGTGGGAATATTGCTGTATGTTAACTTACCTGCTGATGGATTATGTTGTCTGATTAGCATAAGTAGAACGAGGCCCATCAGAGCCAGAACAATAAATCTAAGACTACCTCCTACAATGTAGGTTTGGCGGATGTGTGAACAGGATGATGAAGAGGTATCGGCCAACGAAAGTTCATCCGGCTTTTCTCGATCTTTGTAACGGAAATAGAATGATTCGTAAGAGTTTGTGGTTCATTAGACAAAATACACAATTTACAAGAAGCGAATCATAATTGATTTGCGATCCTTGCAGAGACTTTTCTTTTTTTCATTACTGAAACGGCGGTGTTATATGACGAGAATCGTATACACCTTCATGTAACTATTGTGTCTTGTACTTCTAATTGTGAAAGGCAAAATGTTATTGTGACATACACACAATACACAGACTCAGTGTTCAACTTTTTTCTGTCGCGAATGAGATGTTATTACATGGAAAGACAAATGTTTGAAGCTTTGGTAACGATTAACGGTCCATATGAAGAGCGCCCTGACATTAGGAAATGAGCAACAACACGAACACGAGTTTCGAAGGAAGATTTACACGATCAGTAGCAGTATCTTTGCAGCGCAAGTGTGAAACCAGGACATTTGTGGATAGTTGATATATCTAGCGAGCCCCACCCTGCCGCCGCTCCGGAATATTAAATGGTCGGACCCCGAGTTACCCACGATTTTCCGTTCAAATTAAAGACACATAACTAAAATAAATGCTTAAACTGACATAGCACCCAACTAACTTGCTGACTCTTTATAAACCTCCATGACGTCACTCTATTGTCTCCTTTAACAGAGTAAACCTCTACAGGCAGTTGTGCGGGTATTCTCCATGAATTCCCGTGGATTTTCTACAGAATTGCCCGGATCCCGAGTATTTTCTGGAGGGAAACAGCCCTTGTCTTTGAATTAATACTTGTTTCGAAGATAGATATTACTTTGTCTTGCTGTCACTGAATACGAGCGTAAAATATCACATTATTGTAAACTTCCAGGGATATAATGGAAATGGATGGGGATGGGGATGGCGGTGGCCTTTAAATTATCAAGTCTGGACCAGACAATCCAGTGATCAACAGCCACGTGTACCCGATCCCGTTAGTCGCCTCTTACGACAAGCATTGGTGGATGGAGAATGGGATGGCGGAGGGTGGGATTGGAGATGGGATGGCGGAGGGTGGATGGAGTTGGGGATGGCGGATGGAGATGGGGATGGCGGAGGCAGGGATTGGAGATGGGGATGGCGGAGGGTGGATGGAGATGGGATGGCGGAGGGTGGATGGAGATGGGGATGGCGGAGGGTGGATGGAGATGGGGATGGCGGAGGGTGGATGGAGATGGGGATGGCGGAGGGTGGATGGAGATGGGATGGCGGAGGGTGAATGGAGATGGGGATGGCGGAGGGTGGATGGAGATGGATGGCGGAGGGTGGATGGAGATGGGGATGGCGGAGGGTGGATGGAGATGGGGATGGCGGAGGGTGGATGGAGATGGGGATGGCGGAGGGTGGATGGAGATGGGGATGGCGGAGGGTGGATGGATATGGGGTATATGGAGATGGATAATATAATTATCTTTTTTGCTATAACTGCAAATTACGTTCACAACTGTTTGTTCAGAATCTGACTGCATCCAGACTGACGCCATACTGAAAACGTCATCACCACAAGAACATTCTATTGAGCACAACACGCTAGCACAGGCAAGACACAAGACTGTAGAGAGGTGTCTTAAATCTCTGCGTTTTACACAGAAACTGTACAGCCATTACTTCACATTTGTAAGATATAGTAAAATATTTTTTATAAATAACAAGTATGACACCGGGTGTTATTTCAGCGTTCTGAAATGTACTTACACTGTACACCAATATTCGCTGTTGAACTACCAAGATCGGAACCATTAGAGATAATCAGAGTGTCAGGGAGTCGTTGATGAACACGTGTATCCCCACAGTCAGTAGAGTGCTGGATCCCGCTAAACCAGTGATATCGGAATGGCCTGCCCATATTGCCAAGTGCAAGACAAGTGAAATTAACTTGGTCCCCATCTGACACCAGGACAGGGACATTTGTGGGGGTTACCATCACCTCATCTAAAACAATACAACAGATATTACATGCCTGTTCAGTCAGTGAGTCAAGACACGTTTTCATTAACACAAATTAAAGATATCATGACAATTGACTTTCCATCAACCGCCATGGAGCACGCACCAGAAGGCACCAGATGTTCAAGCGACAGTCTGTAACTAATCGAATCTGGACCAGACAATCCAGTGATCAACAGCATGAGCATAAATCTGCACAATTGGGATGTGATGGCGTGTCAGCCAGGTCAGCGAGCCAGACACCCGATCCCGTTAGTCGCCTCTTACGACATGCATGGGTTACTTCACGGGTCGAGATAGTACAGAACTATAGTGGAATACAAAGTAATTACTAAGAAGCATATGCAGGATTCCATATGTGAAGACAGGGTGTGCAAACGAACTGAAACTCTTAGACGGGACGAGCAGACTGTTACATTCCTCCAAAGTCTCACCGTCAGTGCAAATGACGCCAGTGTCTTCACTATGTTCACATTCATGGTCTCCCCAGACATTGTGAAGACAGTCGTCTAAGCTCTCCTCGGTTCCATGACATGCGAGGTCATCCAGCAGTATGGACCCAGAACCTGGTCCAAAGTTCCATGGAACGGCGTATTTACTGTTAAATAGTCAATCCGAATATTGGTCTATATTAAACATGACATCTGTCTACAGACAAACAAAATCGTTTAAGACACTTTTCCGCATGTTTAGATGATTTAGCAATTACATGGCGGGGAACACCAGAAATGGACTTCACACATCCTACCGATGTGGCTACCTAACCATTCAATTTCCCCCCGTACCCATGTCAACGAGTCGGGAGTTGACATGGAAGGATTGAGTTTCAGGGTTTCAATAATGTATAATGACATTGACACACGCTATATTTCAGCCTAAAATTATGGTCGAGCGAGTATTGATTTTGAGTTTTTCAATTATTTTTCGTCATGTTTTTATCCTTATCAAATGTTCATGACAACTGCATGTTCAATTTGATCAAATCCTTTGTCAGAAAGTAGCTACAGTGCGGAGAGTTTCTGGACCTCTTGGTGTCCAGAATTAAATTGTGACGTGTTATAGCTTTTGGTCTTTTTGAATACAACAGAAGAGAATTACAACCGCTGTCTGCGATACGGACGTAAAAGGTTGATACACTCTACACTAACACTATACATTGATTGAGGAGCATACCGTTAACGAAGTAAGTGGAATCTAAGACCATACGCAGTGTATCGGCATGATTCGGCATTATTCGGCATGATTCATTGACACAGGTATGTCCCCAGATAGTCATTCCCCAATGGGATGTATTAAAATCTCAAGTAAACTGTATGTAAAGTTGTACACAAGCACCTGTTTATTCCAAGAGCTCTGCAGGCCACTCTGGCATCTGGGTTACCAAAGCTGTCATCACAGACCGTTCCCCAAATTCCATCATGAAACACTTGAAGGCGCCCCCTGGTGTTGCCATGACCTGGTTCTACCCTGATCGTACTGGAGGCAGCTTCTGTAGGACATACAACCAGATAAATGTTACATGCGGTGTCGCGTTATTATATTATACTTGGCTCCACGCTCTCAACCACTCGTTTATGACACCTGTCAGAGACTTCATATCTACTTTATCTCCTGTATATCGCAGGGTAATGTTTCGGTTGGTTTGATGTTTAACGCCGCACTCAGTAATATTCCAGTTATATGGCAGCGATCTGTAACTAACCGAGTCTGGACCAGACAATCCAGGGAGCAACACCATGATCATCGATCTACTTGATTGGGAACCGATGACAGGTGTCAACCAAGTCAGCCAGCCTGACCACCCGATCCCGTTAGTCGCCTTTTACGACTAGCAAAGGTTGCTGAAGACCAATTCTAACCCGGATCTTCAGGGGTGTAGGAAAAAATGGCACTGACGATTAACATCGATCTACACAATTAGGATGCGATGACATGTGTCAACCAAATCAGCAATACTGACCGCCCGAACTCGTTAGTCGCATTTTACGACAAACATGTTCAGCTTGACAGGTGCGACATTACACCCAAAGCCCGAAACAGTTCCATCCCCGATCACAGGTTCCTCCTCTCAAACACGTATCATGGGTCAGTCTTGACATCACAGTTGACCTCACATATTCCGAGTGCGTATTATTGTTAAACATAAAGTTATAAGCACTTCCGATTTGATAACACCACTTTCTTGACATTCCCAGTACTGTACAATTTTCAACCGAAAGATTTATACCTTTCTTCATTGAATAGCACTTACGAATCAGCTGACCTGGACCTTCAATCTAAGAAATCAGCAAGTTAAACATAATATCTGTCACGCTTCATCTAATTCCCATTATTAGTATCTATATGTGAGATATTGGGTGCGGAAGCTCTATTTTCTCACTTCGACCTTCTCCGATGTCATCGAATTACATGTGTGAACGGGTTGTGTTACCGGTTTGAAACTTTCATATCACAATGCCAATACTGCCCAAATGAAACTATTTGAAAAAGTAATTTCATAGGTGAATGACCTTATGACACATGAGATGCTTTATAAATGTGAATCATGTTTCACATTTGTCCTCAAACGACCTAATACTCGGGAAGATCCGGGGTAGAATAGGTCTTCAGCAACCCATGCTTGCCATAAAAGGCGACTATGCTTATCGTAAGAGTGCGGCGTAAAACTAAACTCACTCACTCCATCTGGCACAGTGTTTAAGTGTTCTGAAGGTTTTACTCATTTCAAAGAAGCTTGAGATTCATGTGCAATTTTACTGTACAAATAAAGCATGGGAAGGTTACGATATCAGGGGCGAAGTCCGAAAGGATAGGGGCTCCTCAGGGAAAATGTTTTCGTTGGAGGATGGGGGTGCCGTAGTCCGCCCCTGGATATCGACACATCCGCCTATCATCCACATACGTTCACACTACTTACGTCTTGCATCCTTTCACAGACACAGCAATGCCGCGAAGCTATGTCCAAGGGTAAAACCAGTAAAGGAATACATCTATTGAAATATATTCAGCGGTATCTTACCTTGTAGCAGTAAAGCCCGCACCAGGATAGCTGCTGTGCAGCCAAGGACCACCCTGTCCATCACAATCTACTGTGTTCACGGATCTAAATACAGCGGTCGTCTACCCTCTAGTTGTACGAAGTGTGGCCGCCTCACTCTTCCTGCATGACTTTCACTGGCTGCCAATCAGACAGAGACTCATCTGTAGGATCTTGTGTCACGTTTATTGATGCTGGTCTGTAGGTGAATATTGTCACCAGTGTCTTTATTGCTGTTCCCACTGACTCGGTATTACACTGCTAGGAGTGTAGGAAAATGAAGTTAGAAACGGATTTGGGATTGGGGATTCGAATCCCGAATTTGAATATTTTGTTCACATTTGGGATTCGAATCCCGAATCTGAATTTTTTTTTACATTCGGGATTCGAATCCCGAATCTCAATTTTATGTTTAGAAACGGATTCGCATTGGGCATTGGGGATTCGAATCCCGAATATGAAAAAAAAATCAGATTTGGGATTTGAATCCCGAATGTGAACAAAAAATCATTCAGATTCAGGATTCGGATCCCCTATGCCCAATGCGAAACCGTTCCTTATGAATGTGTACTGCCCCTCTAGTTTGTACTGCCATTATGAAACATTTGGTGATTTGTATTATGCTAGTAAAGTACGGGCTTTTCCACAGCATTCTCGGGTATTTATGGCTATAATCATCCCTGCACTTCCTACAAGGGAAAATGTATACTACGATTAAAATTACGGAAAATGAAAAATACTTCAAATGAAGTGGCACTTACATACCCTCTCCGGGGGACAATGATATTACACAGCGTCAACCCACTTTGAAGAAATAGCCACTAACAATGAAAGTTATTTAGTCATTCTCACAAATTAAAATTCATATACTAATTACAATACATATCTAGATTTATCAATTGAATTCATTTCTTTCAAAAACTCAATGATTAAATGAACATGTACATTATCTGAAAGTTCCTTCATCGTTTTTACATTGAAATAGTTATCCCTTGTGATTGAAAAATCAACTCAGTCAAGCAGAACATGCTTGACCGTGATTGTTTCATCACCAGGGATGCAAACGGAGGATCTTCACCTTTTAACACGTATTCATGGGTATATCGAGAGTGACCAATACAGCATCGTCTTAAAATGACCTCTTCAAAGGAATATTAAAATCATCCACAAAAAGTGATCCATCGACTGAATCATTAAAAACCTTTGATAAACTATTGATCTTAATACTAAACAAGGTGACAGACAAAATACTGCCTTGTGGGACACCCTGATCCTGATTATAATGATGAGACAGGCTTGAACCCACTCTGGCCTGAAATTGCCTGTGATAAAAACAGAGGAAGACAACCCCCCAAACCAAAGGCATGTACATCCTTTAAAATGTCATGCTTCCAGGTGGTATCGCATGCTTTCTCGAGATCAAAGAATACTGCATGTTGTTTAATTACTATAGCAAATAACAAAGGATTTTAATCGTACCAAATGATCAAAGGTACTGCGATTTTTCCTGAAACGACATTGCATATTTGTTATAAGGTTATTGGTTTCAAGATACTAAGTTGATCTATTATTTACCATTCGTTCCATGGTTTTGCAGTCACAACTCGTTAAAGATACTGGTCTGCATTTTGATGGATCAGTATGATAACGGCCAGGCTTTGGTATTGGGACTACAATGACATTATGTCACGTAGGTTGGAAATTCCCAGAAGTCCATGGTTATTTTATAAAAAATATCTTAACGTGTTTCGTGACATAATTCAGGTAAATGTTTCAAGAGCTGATAGTGAATATTATCAGCCTCTGTTGCTGTATCATGAGCTTGCTCAAGGGCGGTATGTAGCTCATGTAATAAAAATAATTCATTATAGTCTTTTCCATTGCCTGAGTTAAACTTAATTCTTTTCTGCTCCAATTGTTTCTGATATTTCTGAAACTCAGGGGCATAATTGGATGAAGACGAATGCATGGCAAGAGTTTCACCAAGATTATTGGCAATGTAGATCAGTTAATGAAGTATCTCCATCCTTCAGGTGGTGAACAGTAGATTTTGAACGTTTGCCCTTTATTCTTTGTATCACGTTCCACACCTTTGAAATCAGTGTTTCTCCAAGACTATTTCTCCAAGACTGACGCTTATTTTGCTTAAATGGTGATTCTTGGAATTTAAAATTTCAACTTTATTTAAATCATGTACTAAAGGATGTCTCCGAAAAAAAATTTCGACTTTCTTCCAACATTTTCTGGCATGTTTACATTGTTTATCAAACCACGGTTTACGAATGTGTGGAGGTGCGGAGCACTGTGGAATTGTTCTGTCAGCAGCGTCATTAAATACATCCGAAAAAGATTAGTCTGTATAGGATCTTCCCTCTTCCTGAATAGGTCATGTTTAAAGTGTTCAACACACAGTCTCACAAAATGACCAGTCAACCCTGGCGAGGTTCCTTCTTGATGAACGTGGATCAGCACCATTGACGATTGATTTGAGAATGGTGGGGAAGTGATCACTCCCACATAGGTCATCATAAAACATCCATTAAACTTCACTGTACAAGAGTCAGCGAGTGACAGATCCAGGGAAGAATAAGTTCCCGTAGCTGGATGTAAATAAGTGGCAAACAGGTTGCCCAATTTGGTCGTCTCTTACGACCAGCAATGGGATGCTGTGGACACATTCTAACCCGGGTCCACCCGGGGGAAGAGCTATTAGCGTTGCCCAGCACTCACCACGAGGAAGATGCTCTTCACGAGACCCTGTACAAGGCGATCCTAGCACTAGGGTGATTGTAACTCCGATACCATAACATAGGCTTGGGATAGTCGAAGCTGTAAGCGGTAAGTTTACTTTGTAGAGCAGCACCCTGTGATACAGAGGAACGTCTCTGTTTGCCAGTCCTTACATGGCGGTATGGCAGAGTCATTAGCAATGTTCAGTAATCAACGTTTGGTTTTCTCATAAGTTGGTATCAACAATGAAGATATTGCACTGCGTGCTGAGGCTACACGGAACTCCACGTTCCAGTCACATTTGCACTGGTAACTCCATATGATCTACAAATCTACTTTCAAGATCAAATTTTTTCCATCAAACCCAAAGTATTGGATACGATCATCTGTTGCAGGATTTCCCGTAACATATATCTACCCATCTCATGAACATACTATCTTCCGCAAAGCTGACTTGTGGCATTTTGGTTCATTCCTATAACTTCCAGGTTTAGGTTGTGCCGCGAGGGACGAGTTTCAGCAGGATATTCTCTGACATTGACGCCTCATACACTCTTCAGAAAAAGAAACGCACAAGTGATTTTGAGAATATGGGACTCATGTAACTGCGGAAAAACAACACAAATATACTATTTTCTTTCACAAACGTCATCTTTGTGTGATTGTAAACAGATTCAGCGCTCAAACTGTTTACCTTTTTGCCTTGTTTTACAAGCGTTTGAAGAAATATTCGCCTAAACGTCACCAAGAAAACATGCAAAGCAAAATGCACGTGCAAGTAAGCGGAAAGGCATGCGGTATCAATCACAATAAAAAAGCTCAACGTTGTGTTTGATTTTACCATCCGCCCGGAAAAGAGGGATCATCATGCCGCCAATCGAAAAATCGCCATAGGCCGCCTTGAAGGTGGGGAGTCGCAGTCTGCAGTTGCCCGACGTTTGAACGTTCCTCACAGCACCATATCTCGCCTTTGGGATCATTTCCTGCAGTCAAATTCCGCCCAAGATCGCCCGCAATGCGGCCGTCCAAGAATTACCACCCAAGCCCAGGACCGCTACATCCGGGTTGCTCACTTGCGTCATCGTCTTGCCACAGCCGTGGAGACTGCACAACGCATCAATGGTTTTAAGCATTAGAGATATTCAGTACGTCAATGCGTCAATGTCTTGCCATGGCTTCCCCCATCACCAGATCTAAACCCGATAGAACACACGCCTCAGACGCTTCCACTACTGGTCATCGCATTGCAGGAAGAGTGGGGAAAATTTCCGCAAGAGCGACTTCGTCGACCTATTCAGTTTGTGCAAGACCGTGCCGAGCAGTAATTTCTGCCAATGGTGGCCATACAAAGTACTCACTTTGACGCCATCTTGTGGACCCACAAGAAAACAGAAACACAACAATAATGGCTGCAGATTGTTGACGAACTCTTCGTCTAAAGGCGTGTGAACTTTCACGTATATACATTGAAATTACATGAAATAACTGCTTTTAAACTAACGCAATACATTCTCCTAAAATGTCTGACCGCCTCCGTGGTGTAGTGGTTAGAGCGTCGCGGGTTCGATCCCCGACCGCGTCATACCAAAACACGTTAAAATATGGTACTTGTTGGTCCCTGCCTGGCGCTCGGCATTAATGGGTACAACAAGGACTGGTCGGCTCGGAGTCAGTATAATGTGTCTGTGTGGGGTATTCATGCTTCACTGCGGCATGGTATCGCAGTGGGCTAGCACTATAAACCCAGCTTAAGTCTGGGCTAGTACAAGCAGCCACACATACACATACACACGCATGCACGTCGTCATATGAGCGAAATATTCTCAAGCACGACGTAAAAAAACAATTTCACCTCACCTCACCTCACCTAAAATGTCTTAGGTGTTTTTTTTATAAGAGTGCATGACCTCTTATCAATATGTTAATCATACATACCTGTATCTGATCATCTTCCTATGATGGATACCGAATCCAATAGGTAACGATTCTCCAGAGAATCCCTATAATGGCATACCATGGCGTGTCGGTTGTCTCGGTATCATTCACCCAAAGTTCAAGAAAGGTTACCTAGAAGTGTTTAGTTGTACTTGAAGAAACATGTACAAAACAAGAGTCTCATTTCCCTTGCTGATGGCGACCCTATTCTACTTATCTGCACAGGCGGACAAAGGAAGAACGAAAGATGAAGTCCGGCTACCCTTCGGTCCTAAGATGTGTGTCCAGTGGTGTCAGAGTCTACGGGCGTGTAACTCTCCCATCTATGTCATGCACGACTTGTCATGCCACGTGGACACATACAGCACACGACAGGCT